GCATTCAGTAACTCTGCCTTCTCTGTATCCTTTGTTACCAGGGCACCTGCCCCATTCAGCGGCGGGCCCACGTTTTCCCTAGTCTTCCTTTTGCTCTTGATGTATTTGAGGAAGCCCTTCTTGTTCTCCTTGACATCCCTTGCCAGATTTAATTCCAACTGGGCCTTAGCCTTCCTTGTCGCATCCCTGCACGCTCTGACAACGTCCCTGTATTCCTCCCAAGTGGCCTGGCCCCTTTTCCACATTCTGTACACTTCCTTCTTCTGCTGGAGTTTGGCCAGGAGTTCCTTGCTCATCCATGCAGGTCTCCTGCCCGCTTTGCTCAACTTCTTACTCAGAGGGATGCACTGATCCTGAGCCTGGAGGAGGTGATGCTTGAATATTAACCAGCTCTCTTGGACCCCTCTTCCTTCTAGGGCCCTACCCCATGAGATTCCCCTAAGTAGGTCCCTCAAGAGGCCAAAGTCAGCTCTCCTGAAGTCCAGCGTTGCAATCCTACTCCTTGCCCTGCTCCCTCCTCGTAGGATCCTGAACTCCACCATCTCATGGTCACTGCAGCCAAGGCTGCCCCCAACCTTCACCTCTCCAACTAGACCTCCTTTGTTCGTTAGTACAAGGTCCAGCAGTGCACCTCTCCTCGTTGGTGTCTCCACCACCTGAGTCAAGAAATTATCATCAATCCTCTGCAGGAACCTCTTTGACTCTCAGACATCTAAAGGATGATCTCAAATCGCAGCACAGACTATACTATTTCCGCATAAGGCACTGGTGCCACCGTGTCTGGAATACTGTACCTACGGCTGCAGTCAATAATTCAAGGAGATAACTGAACAGGATTCAAATAATCGTGTAACTAAGGTTGGAAAACGTCATGTAGCAAAAGACCACAAGGAGCCTGATCTGTTCAAACACAATGCCAGGAGTCACTCGGGGTGAGGGGTTGGGCAGGGGGGAAGTGAGTTACTTTACCTCAACTGACACTTTTTTTAGTCCATTTTTTTCCCCCTCACGTCTCTCAGGTAGATGTCCTCATGAGATTAGATAACATGGAGACCTCGAAATCAGTCTCAAGTTTTTTAGGCTAACCCAACACAGCCCTTTCTCCTGGGAAGCAGAACCCTCCAGTTACTGGGGCTGCTGATACGCAATCACTGTAACGCAGAACAAACCTGCACTGCTAGTGAAGACGACATCGCCTTCCTTCCCCGTTCCTCCAGATTTAACTGCTCCCTATGAACAGGTCCAGCTGAAAACTAAAATAGTTTTCAACTAGATCTGTTCTCTCTCTGGCTACCTGTGAGGCCACCCAAACACGATACAACAGAGAAGATGGAAATGAGCAGCAGGATGCTAGGAGGGAGATTGCTCCTTTTAGCAGATGTATAAATCCACGCAGGATGCGCGTGACCAGGTAACCACAGTCTGAAGCTCCTCAAGCCACTGCTGACTGAAATGCTTCAACTTTGCTCCGTTTTTTAAGAGCCATTCCTAAGCAAGAGTGAAAGCAGACTGGTCAATTTTCCAGCTTGCTAGCTAGGAGAAAAACCGAACAGGAAATAAAACCGAAAAAACAAGCGCACAAGCAAAAGGCTTAGGAATATTTTATAGCTCCTTCCACCACTGCTTCTGGCAGCAGAGGTCCACTGCAAAGCCCGCTGCTACAACTGTCAAACAGTAGGCAGTCAGAGGCTGATAAAAAGACAGATCCTTGAAGAAGGGCAAGGAAGAGCACTGCGCTAGGAACCCATGGGATCAGAGCTGAGCCCTTTCCTGGGACCTTGGCACACTCTACTTCTTGTCACACTGATCGATTTAGAAGCATTAGTAAATACCTCAAAAATCCAGCTTTATAAGAGCTAACAACTCCAGAGAAAATGTTAGCAGTTTTTTGTCAGATATATGAAATATCGGAGAACGACAAATACCCGAACTCCTACGTCTGCAGGGGAATTAGAGCAGAACGCGAAGAGGACCTGGGAGTTAGAAACCGTTGTCACCTCTGATGCAGATATTTGCAGATCGCAATTTAAAGTGAAACGCTTGCTTCCAAACGATGCTTGGGAGAATCTAAGTGACCTCCGATTACATACTGAGCCCCTAAAAGAGTAAGAATAAACATGTAGTTTCCTACAAAATTCTGGTGACGGCGTGAGGCTAAGCAACGGCTGATTTTCAAGAAATACTGGGGTCTGAACCACACAGAGCGATCACAGCATAGTACTAAAGATAACGCCCTAGAGCATGATTCAGTTTTCTTCTTCTGAAGAAGAAGAAGAAAAAGAGTATCTTCAATTCATTATTCTTCTAGAGCTTCTTTTTCAGTGATACATCAACACACATTCAAAATTAGAAGCAAGCCCAGTAAACAGCAGCTGTGATTT